CTTCTGCACAGCAAAAAAACACACGAATAGAATGAAAATAGAGAATGAGCAAAAATTCTTGTCAGAGGACTCATATCTACAATATATTAAAAACTAAAAAATCAGACCCTTTAAAATAAAAGACCCAATCAAAATATGGGGAACTGAAATGAATAGACCTGTCACAGAAAGAGTACAAATGGCCAATAAATGAATGAGAAACTTTTGACATTGCTGGACTCTAGAGAAATGCAAATTAAAACACTGAGATTCTGTCTTACTCTAGAAAGAACAGCCATGATCAAGAAATCAAATAATAGCAAATGTTCATGAGGCTTCAGGAAGAAAAGGAATTCTTTTAATTGTTAGTGGGAATGTAAACTAATACATTCACCTTGGAAATCATCATGGCGATTCAGCAACAAAATAAAACTAGAAATTCCATTTGACTCAGTTATTCACCATCTAGGTATCTTCCTGATAAAACTCAAAGACATCATATTACAGTGATGCATGCATACCCCTGTTTTAGTAGCACAATTAATTATAACTAGATGATGGAAGTAACACATAGGTCCATCAACAAGTGAATACCTAAAAAAATGTGATATTTACACACAATGAAGTGTAACTCTGTCATAAAGAAAGATTAACTTGAGTCATTAATAGGAAAATGTATGTTCCTTGACACAGTAATATTAAATGAAATAAATCAAGCATACATGCTTAAATACCTCATATTTTCTCTTATGTGAGAAATGAAAGTTGTAAATAAAGTGCTGATCTCCTGGTATATGTACCTAAAAGATAGATAATAGGAAATAGGAAGCTCTGTCTCAAATGTGAAGGGGATAATAAGATGGAGAGAAAGGGAAAGAGGGAGAAGGGATTTAAAAATAAATTAAGATGCGTTATGTATATGTACCATTTCCACACAGAGGGGAAATATTATGCAGTGAAAATACATGCTAATAAAAATATTTTCAAATGGGAGTCTAAGACAAAACAGACCCTAACCTTTCTTTCCAGATATATTGGGGTAGGTCACTTGTATATGAAAGAGGACATTTTAAAGTGATTTAGAGCTTCCCAGACCAACATTTAAAAAAGCTTAGAGCTCAGAAGGTCACCACTCATCATCACAACAAGAAAAAACAAAAAAATGAAATTCAACAAATCTGGGCCTGAAGAGAACTGTAGACAGATACAGAGACCCATAGTTTACTAGGAGAAGCCAGGGTAAACACAGTATCAGTAGGAACTATGGGGTACTTGTTTTCTGTTGCTGTAACAAAATAAATGAAACTCAGTAATTTATAAAGAATAGAGATTTAGTGTACCTTTAAGTTTCTTGTACAATTCAATAGCGAATTCATCAGGGCATGGGCATACCTCACAGAACTACAGAAAACATTCCTAGAATTTGTTTGGAACCAGAAATGACCTAAAATAGCAAAAAAAAAAAATCTCAGCTACAAAGGTAAGGAAGGGAGCATTACAATTCATGGCTTGAAATTATTCTACAAAGAAAACAGACCAGAAGATCAGCAGAACACATTAGAAGATGCAGAAGCAACCTCAAGCACACTATGTCACCTTATCTTTGACAAAGGGACCAAACATATTCACTGGAAGAAAGATAGTCACTTTAATAATAATAATTTGTTCTGGAAAAACTGGCTCACCACATCTATCACCATGTACTAAACTAAAACAGAAGTATATCAAATATCTAAATAATAAAACAGAAATGCTAAATCTGCTGAGAGAATAGGTAAATTTTGACATATATGTAGGCGAGGCTTTCACAAACAAAAACCAGACTGCATGGAAAATATTCCAAAGAATCAATAAATGTGATATCACCTGATTTAAAAGATCTTGCACAACAAAAGGAATTGTAAATAGAGTGAAAAGACTATCCACAGAGTGGGAAAAGTTATAACCAGTTGTTCCTTTGACAAAGGATTTACATCTAGGACATATAAAATTTGAAAAAGTTCAAGGTCCCCAAATCAAAGACCCAATCCAAAAATGGGCTTCTGAGATTATCACACACTTTTTTTTTTTACTTAAAGAAAAAAAAAAACAGAAAAAGGGTACAAGTAATACAGAATTTCAAAAAATAAACAGTAAGAAATCACTATTAATAGATTACATATTGTCATCTTAGAAATAGTTGTTCAAGTGACAAAATTAAAACATACGAAGTGGACATTCAAACAGTGAGACTGCAACATAGTTCTGTTCAATGATCCATCAAAAACTTAGTAATATGGTTATCTATCTTACACACTTAAATCTACACACAGTTATATCCTTTAGAGCACTTTCTTTTCCTCTCTTTTTTACAATAACAACTACACATTTTGGGTTTTATTACTCCCACAGTTCTTATTTCTTTTTTTGGAAGAGAATAAAATCAAATGTGACAAAACAAAACAGAGTCAGTCAAATCAAAAGGATGGACATAATACATGATGTAAAAACAGAATACAAGGTGATCAACAATGGTTACCATGATGCCTCTTGCTATCTTCAAAAGAACTGCCCATATCATCAGGTATAATAAAATTGAACAAAACAGTATAAAACAAAACCAATAAAACCAAAACATTGGAGACATTACAGGACTTCAAAAGAAGATATTAGTCAAACCAGAATGGGCATCATAGTGAATCTTATTGTCTTCAAAGTAGTTGCCTATACCCTCAAACTTGATACTATCAAGTAAAACAGAATAGAGTAAAATCAATCAAAACAAGATGGTGAGAGCAATACAGGGCTTCAAATCAGGTTAAAAAGAAATCCAAATGGTTACTATAATATATCTTGTTATTTTTAAAATTCATTTTTCCCTTAATTAAAAAAATATAAATAAATAAATTTTTAAAAGTGGGATTGAGATAAAAGAGGACATAACACAGGTCAGAACAGCACAATTTAAGCAACATAGTGTTTTACCACAAGGTAACCCAACATATGGGTAGTTACCATAGTGTCTCTTTCCTTGAAATATTTGAGTATAACTTCATATACTATAGCATCAAACATATCAAGACAGTGTAAAATCATTCAGGAGAATGAAATTATTACAGGGTATTTAGAACCAACTAACAGAAAATGAACAATGGTTTCTATATTATCTCCTTGTCTATAAAAATTTTTGTTTGTACTATCACATATAATAAAAGCCAATAAGATACAACATGATAAGACTGATGGAGATAGAAGAACAAAAGCTTGATGGGGCTTCAAAACAAGATGATATTAAAACAGTACTAGCTTGTTTTCTTTAAAATAGCTGTTCATACCATCACAGACAATAAAATCAAACAACCCAGAATAAAAATCATTCAAATTAATGAATGAAAACATTATAAGGCTTCAAAGTAATATAATGGAGAATCATGATTACCACATACTTTTATGTACTCTTATCATTTCTTATACTAGGGAAACTATTCAGTATTTATACATGTGAATTTGATTTATTTCACTTATGAGTATGGTCTTAAGCTGCGCCCATTTATTTATAAATAACTCAATATGATCATTCTTTATAGCTGAGTAGTTCTCCGTTGTATAAAAATACCACAACTTTTTTATCCATTCCTCAGTTGATGGACATTTAGGTTGTTTCCAAGATCTGGCTATTACACATTGTGCTGCTATAAACATGGGTGCGCATATGTCACTGTGGTATGATGCTTTCAGTTCTTCTGGGAATATGCCTAGGAGTGGAATAGCTGGAACAAATGGGACTTCCAATCCCAGCTTTTTGAGAAATCTCCAGACTGACCTCCACAATGGTTGCACCAGTCTACACTCCCACCAGCAGTGCAGGAGAGTTCCTTTTTCCCCCACAGCCTCTCCAGCATTTGTTGTTGGTGGTTTTCTTGATCTTGGCCATTCTTTCAGGAGTGAGATGGAATTTCATTGTTGTTTTAATTTGCTTTTCTCTAATGAGTAATGATGATGAACATTTTTTCATGTATTTATTTGCCATTTGTATTTCTTCATCTGAGAATTGTGTATTCATCTCAGATGCCCATTTTTGGATCGGCTCTTTGAATTTTGGGGGTCTGATTTTTTTTAATTCTTTATATGTTTTAGACAGAAGTCCTTTTTCTGAGGGACAGTTCATTAAGATTTTTTCCCAGTTTGTGGGTTTTCTTTTCACTATGCTGGAGATTTCTTTTGACGTGCAGAAACATTTTAATAAGAGGTGATTCCACATCCTTTTCAGATGAAGAAATACAATTAGCAAATAGATATATGAAAAATGCTCAACATCACTGGTTACTAGAAAGATACAAATTAAAACAATGCTGAAATTCCATCTCACTCCAGAAAGAATGGTTATCATCAAGAAATCAACCAATAACAGATGCTAGTGAAGCTGTGGAGGAAAAGAAACTCTTCTCCATTGTTGGTGGGAATGTAGACTGTGAAACCACTGTGGAAATCAGTGTGGAGATTTCTCAAAAAAGATCTAAAATTAAAGGTTTCATTTGAAGCAACTATTCTGCTTCTGGATATCTTCCTGGAAGAATTAAAACATCATACCACAGCAATATATGCACATCCATGTTTATAGCAGCACAGTTTGTAATGGCTAAATCTTGGACACAACCCAAATGCCCATCAACTGATGAATAAATAAGGAAGATGTGGGTTTAAATATATATATATATATATATATATATATATATATATATATGTATATGTATATATATGTGTGTGTGTGTATAATGGAATACTACTCCACCACAAAGAAAGATACATTGGCATTTCTAAGTAAATCGACTTACATTGAAACCATACTCTTAAGTGCAATAAATCAGACTCACATGTAAACATCACATTACCTTCCTGATGTGAGAAATTGAAAAGAGAAAATAAGGACCAAAATGTACAATAAATATTTTGAAATTGGAAGAAATTTTTCAAAAGGAAATTTGAACTAGAGTTGGAGAAAGGAGAAAGGAAGCAAGGGGGAATGATTTTAAAGTAAAATCTGAAATACATTTCACCATAATTTATTAAAAATTAATTCATACAATTTCCATACAGTAACTGTTAAACCAATAATGAATAGACATCTGTTTAAAATTACATAAAAATAGTTACACAAAACACAGAATGAAGATAATATTTTATGAGAAGGTAATATTTTTGTAATAAACATATGGGAATTACAAACTGTTAGATTTCGTTCCTGTTGTTAATTTATACAAATGTAAAATAAATGTGAGAAAGACCACTATCTTGAAATACTACTTACTCTTTAAACCTTATAATGTCAAAATGACACGATAAATCAATGACTTCTTATTTCACGTTCCCAATTGTAAACTTTGTGCTACTTAGGTCTACAGTGATTTCACTGAACACTGATTTCACTGAACTCAGTTAAAAAACTAATTTCACTGAACTCAGTTAAAAAACTGAGTTCAATTGCAAATTTCCCTTCTCTTTTATTTTTCTTCTGAAATCACTTCATCCTCCTCTTCTTATATTTCTCTCCTTTCCAATGGAATCATAAAACACACCCCACCTCAAGGAATGACATCCCATCCAAGGAACAGAATGGAAACACACAGATTAAAAAAGAAAAGTACATGCCTGTAATCACAGCACTTGGAGGACTGAGGCAGGAGAACTGCAAGTTAGTTTCACCTCAGAAACTTACAGTGATCTTGTCAAAACAAACAACAGAAGGAAGAAAAAGAAAAAAATGACTTGAGGACTTAGCTCAGTGATAGAGCACCCTCAGGTCCAATCCTCAGTAACAAAGGAAAAGGAAAAGAAAAACAAAAATAACTTTACAAGATGACCTTTAGATACATTAAAAAGATAAGCCAAATGTGAAATCCTGTAACTTTATGAGGTTGTTTCCTTTGGTTCCTTAGACTGATTTATTAACATTTTGACTTTCCATTGTAATGTCTCGTCTTCCAAACCATAGACTACCAATTAGCTGAAGGTAACATGAAACATAAAATCAGATAAAACCTCCAGTTTTTATAAAAATTTAAATGGTCTGCATAGAATTTTTGGAAATTATTTCAACCATATCTGAAAACACTTGGCTCATGATTATACTGGCCAACTAAATAACATTCTTTAAAAATAAAATGTGTTAGCTGGCAGGCAGCTGGTACATGGCCATTTATGGGGTTTTATTTAAAAAAGAAATGCAAGACATTTTCTAAGGTGCCCTCCTCTGCACTGCAAACTTTTACCATTTGAAAAATGCATGAGTACTTTCCTTTGGAAATCATGTAGCCTACACATATTTTATAAAAATCACAAAATGTGGGTGCATGGACAGTTTATTCTACATTTAAGAACATCAGGAACCATGGTGTTTGATGTCATGATCTAAAATAGCCTATGACATAAGGCTTTCCCCAGATCACCTGCAGACTGTTCAACTGTCTTGTTGTCTTTATTGTCTTTCATTGGCAGCCACTTAATCAGTTGTGTTTACTCCTTGCCCACTCTATGAGTCACAGAGTAGTAGACATAAAGGCAGTCACAAAGAGTGAATAAAAGATACAATGTTTACATCTCAAAAAACACTACAGAAATAGCAATGGATCTTTTACTGTAATAATTTTTAAAATTTAAATATTCACCATGATTTTATGATCATGCATCATTAGTCAAATATTTATGGCAGTCTCTGCCAAAAGTATCACAGCATATCCTTATTCACCTTATTCATCAAATCTGTCACCACCCAACTTCTGGTTCAAAATGAAGAGTCAAAATGAAGAGTCAAAATGAAGATAAAAGGTAAACGTTTTGAATTGACTCAAGACATGGACACAGCCATCCTAAAACAATAAAATATATTTAAGAAAGAGTATCTCCAGAACTGCTTCAGAAAGTAGCAAGAACAAGAAGATACATAGTTCTAAAGCAAGGACGAGTATTTTGAGGAGGAAAAATGACAGTGCCTCTTTACTGTAACAAATGTTTTGAAATTTGAACATTCAATGTATTTAATTACACCTTCTATAAGGGTAGACCACATTATACTTAAGGCCCTTCAAGATTGTTGTAATATAATATCAGGAACTGATAGGAAGAATGATAAATAGCTATAATTTTACTTAGCAGAGAAGGTGTCAAGTAAAACAGAACAAGTTTTGTTTCCTTTGCGCAGGTTCATGTGAATACACTGATGTATTGAAAAATAAGCAAGGTAACAGACATTATGGATAATGGAGATAATGTGGGGCAGAGACTTCTGGAATGACCCCTGAGCAAAATTTTGGGAGAAAGCCAGTTTCTGGTTAGGAAAATAGTAGTAAGCATTTGCCTGCTCTTGAATCATTTGAAGGTTTGTTTGTATAAGTTTTAATTAGATTTAGCAGCAGAACTGAAAACTATCACAAGCAGAGATACGACAAAGTTAATGATTTGAAAGAACCCTTTTTGTGGCTGTGTTTAAGATAAATGGGATAAAGAAGAGGTTATACTGGCATGGACTGATTTAGTAGTGGGCATTACAGACAATTAACACCTGGGCTTGGAGTATAGCTATTATATTAAATTAAAAATCTCAGAGGACTCTCAGTGGACTCTGTGACTCCATTCAACTTAACATCCGAATGTTGCATTAAGAAATCCTTAGAGAAAAGGTTTCCAAACATTTTGCCTGTTGTCATAGATACTTTGAGGCTGAAAAGAGGAAAACATAATTCAAAGGGAACACGAGATGGCAGCAGTTTTATCATATAAAGAGAGAGCTGGGGAAAGGAAAACATTTGAAATTATTTTTAAAATAAAAAAATATGGAGCACCTTATTCTTTATGTGCTGTATTTCTTTCTGATACAGAGATTATTCAGTCGTTGGTTTCATGCCTCACGGCACATCTGAGGTTCATTCCAACTATAGTAAAAATCCTACTACATTACATGTGATTGTTTCCTAAAATAAAGCTGTTGCTGTTTTCTTCAGATTACTGTTCCTCTGTGTTATCTGAAGCAGAAGAGTTCTGTATGGTGCACACTCGTTTTAAATGTTCCAGCATCGCTTTTTCTTCCTCTTCTAGTGTTTCATCTTTTCTCATTTCCCACCTAAAAGAAAAATCACATCATAGTAAATTTTTTGGCAACTTACAGACTACAGTTAGTAGTCACTGCCTCCCTGAAGCATTATTGAAGTTTCTCCTTGTTTCTTCTGTAACGATTGCCTCTTGGGTGACACAGTCCTAGGCACTGATTCTGCAGAGTGGGTCAGAGAATGGAAAAGGAAAATACAGGCCAACTCCAGAGTCCACTCTAGCACAGTTTTAAATCAGGTCTCTCTGTTTCATTGATTTTAAAATGTTCAAAAGAGGCAGGCTTGCCAGGAAGTTGCAGGAGGTTTGCCAGGAAGACATTGGCAGCAAGATCATCACACTAAACTAGCTACTCCTTCACGGCAGGTTAGTCTATTTCTAGAAATAAGTTCAGATTTGGAGTAATTGGGTTAAATCACAGAAGAAAAGCAGCAAGTGATTAGCAAGATTCCATAGAATATTTACTTTTAAAAAGGAGATTAAAGACACTCTAATTTTGGTTGATTAGGAGATATAGAAATGTTAGAATCTAGAATTCATATATGCATGTATCTTGCAAAGTAAGTATTATTATAATAACCCAAGTAGAATCCTTCCTTCCCCTGCTTTCTCTCTCTTTTGTTGCCCTTCCCCAGGTCTTGCCACAACACACGGAACTCAGCATTCCAAACGGAATCGTTGGCATATGTTGCTTTCCCAACTCTTCTTTCTATCAACCTTTAGTAATCTGCTGATGAAGTGCTGTCCCAAAAGCATTTTAAAATCAATGCTGATACATCTAAAAGACTTTATGCTATACAGACTTCAGTAGGGCAGAACCTCTAATAAGCAACAGCTGCTCACTGAAGATCTTCCGGGGCCATCTTTTCTATGATCAGATTTCCTGTCATACATGAAGAAAGCATACGTTTTGGGTGGGACTTTCTGGTTTTGATGGAGAAGGGAAAAGAAGCAGGGTAACAGCATTTTCCATAGAAACCTCTTGGCAGGAAGCTTGTTCTGACACAGGTTTCCTCGTTGGAGTTTGAGGTTTAGGAAGCTTGGGTACACTCTGGGCGGTGGATGATATGAAAGAGAAGGGGGAGGAGCGGTCCAGGGAAAGGAGGACGCTTATTTATGATATTACACTTGCTTTATTTTACATATCTTCACTCTCTGCCTGGGAACTTTCTGTGTTCCAGCTTCTAACACTGTTATTTCTTCCCTTGTTAGTTTCTCTATATGTTTCCTATGGTTGGAGTTGGGTCACTGGTCATAGAGGTTTTAAAAACTGCTGAAAGATAAAGATAGTTTCCAGTATCACGTTGTTCAAAGCCACATCACATGGAAAATTTTCAAAATCAGTTTCTGGGGGTTTACAGTTTAGCTCACAAGGTTAATTTGTACTGATCTATTGGAATTTTAATGAGAAAAATAACCTCTCACAAATTTATATAAGTTAACTTAAACATTACTATTGTGCATGTCAGACTGAAGTTCCAAATAAAAAAATAAATAATGGAAATATTTACATAGCAGTAATGATGGAGTAGGTGTTGTGTCAACACCTGACTCTAAATTCTCACTACCAAGTATGACTACTCCAAGTCTATAGAATAGTTGACTGAGGCACAAAGTGTTCCAATCACTTACCCAAGCATCTTTGGATATGAACTCTGGATTCGGGACTTGGCTTTAAAGCCATTTTACAGGTGTTAATCAATACTGTTAAAAAGCTAATATTTCATTTTTTGGAAAACACTACCAAATTATGTTAGATAGTAACTGAAAGAACTATCTAAACTGGGTGTTGTGGTGTACACCTGTAATCCCAGCACCCCAGAAGCTAAGGCAGGAGGATCACAAACGCTAGTCTAGACTGGGTAACTCAGCATGACACTGTTTCAAGGTAAAAAATAAGGAAATGTCTGAGGATGTTGTTAAGTACAAAGGTTCTAGGTTCAATTCCACTGCCAAAATTAAAAACTAAAAAGGAAAAAGAATCTATCTGTACATGAAACCCAAAAAAGAAAAATTGTTTGCCTTTTCTCTCCCACCCATGCAAAGGTACTAATATTGCCTGCATAAATGAATTATTCCATGAATATCAACAGAACAAAATATATAATATACACATAAATATTTTGATTATTTTCTCTACTTGTGAAAGTAGAATGCAATCTCTCTGCTTCATTAAAAATCTGTATAATTAATGTAATTTAAAGGAATTGTATACATAATAGAATCATGATAAGGATTTGGAATCTTCATGACAATTATAGGCACTTCACAGTGTAATTGAGCTGTTAGTAGCTAATGATATTAAGCAAAGTTATTTACCTATCCCAGCCTTCTCATATTTGCTTTGTGCTTATTAAGAAGAAATCATTTCATGAGAGGATATAAAGTGATAACAAAAATGGCTGAAAAAGTAACATTATAACTATGTATTCTCTAACAATTTTACTTTTATTGAATGAAAGCATCAGAGATTTGAAATGAATCTTTTTATCACAAGCATTCTTAATTTTGCAGTCATAAATTCTTAAGAAAAATTTAACTTTTAATTGTGAACAAAATATAAAAACAAGTCAATTCTTTTTGTTAAAACTACTAGCAGAGAAAATAATCTACCAACTTGTTAAACATAATTGATTGATATATGTGCTTTTCCCTGATATACTTAACATCTGTGGTGAAAGCATCTCCCTACAGAAACTAAATAATATACAAACCAGCCTATTTTTGTTCTCCTTAAAAAGCACTACATTTTCTTGATTTTGGTAGGCTGTCTCTTGCACTACTGCTAAATTCCTCCAGCTGCCTACTATGGTAAAAGAACAGCAAACCAAGCCTCAACCTTTGTGCCAGTGACCATTTTTGTCTTAGCTACTATGGAGCAGTAAAATCCTCACTGTGTCATAATCCTCACCATCTTCTGGAACAAGCTTCATCTCTGTGGCTCCTGGGAGAGCAAATTTAGGGCCTTGATCTACCCTCGATTATCAGTCTTTCTTATCCAAATACCCAGATTGAGATATTCTGTGTCAGCAGCCAAACTCTGCTCATTAGCACCAAGGTTTTGACTTGGATATCCTTAGCCTTGCATTTCCTGTATTTGCACACATGTTCACACCTGGACTGATGGTATCTGCTTGCTACTGAAAATGTTCTATTAACATTATCTGTAAAGATAGAGTTCTCCCATATATCAGACTGTGGACTACCAACTTTCTATTTTTGTCCACTTCAATAAACAACAGTTGATTTATGATCCTTCCAATGAGACTGACTGGAGCACAGAATAAAAATAGTTGCAGACCACCAAATGTTAAGGTTTGTGTCTGGATGTCTCCCCAAAACCTCATGTGGTGATAGTAGTGATGAGGGATGCTTTTCAAAGGCAGCAGAGTTTGGGGTAGGTAGCCTGCATACCATATAAGGGAGGAAAAGAGGCTTACTTGCCCCCTCCACCTTTTGCTATTGTTGCTTTTGCTGTCTTCCCCGTGCAAGGAACTATTGCCCCTCTGCCATGCCAGCCTGCCTTGGAGCCAGCTTGGATTATGAACTGAAACCTCTACAAACTGTATGTGAAATAAATCTTTCATTTATTAACTTTGGGTGTTGGGTATTTAGTCTCAGCAATGGGAGAAAAGTAACCAAGACATTGAAGAACTGTCCTAGTGGTCAACTTTATAAAATCTTAATTGGGTGGAGCTTTATAAATGGTGGTGTGTTAGAATCAACCAGGAGGTGTCTTTATGCTTGGGGATGAGCGTCAGCATGAAGCATTCCTTGGTAGTGTTGGTCCAGGCTGTCAAAGGGGCAAAGTCTACAATAAGAAAAAGGGTAAGAAGAAGCAACCAACACAAGACAGATAAAGAGGACCAGAGTCTGGAATGTGAGAAATTCTCTAAGGCATTTAATCTGCCTTTGACTGGGAGAAAACCATCTAAAATCTGAGAAATCATAAATGTACTGAATAAGAGGATAATCTCCGGAATCATTCCACCTATGGATCCACTCCAAATCTACCACCTACAGGTTAAATCACCTCAGGCGAGTTTACTTCTCTGTGTTTCAGAGTGCTCATCTGTAAATAGGGTCAGAATAGTTCCAGTGGAAACAAGACCACTTGTTTATGGATAATCTATGACCGATTTCAATCGATAATGTCAGAGTGTAGTAGCTGTGTTTGAGAATGAACAAATCTCTATGTTCACAAAGCCTAAAATATTTACTATTTTTATTTTATAGAGACAGAAAGTTTGCCAACTGATTCTAGAAGTAGCTTGCTATTTTATTTTATTTTTTTAAAGTGCTGAATAGGCTTGGTGCAAGCTAGATAAGACTTCTACCACTGATGTGAGTGCAGTTCTTATGAAGTCAGGCTATTTCCCTAGGGGAAAATGTGGAGGGCAGATTTGACTGACACTACAGCCAGAGAGTCCTTTCTACTAGGACCTAGGGAACAGAAATTTCAAATATCTTTATATGCAAGAACCCACAAAAGGAAGAGTTGTTTTTCCAAAGAGTGTTCCTGAGGAGAAACATATGCTCTAGAGTAGCTAATACTGAATAGCAATAATAATAATATTGATGGAGTAGGAATCTCTGTTTAATTCCTGATTTTAATTGAAATGATTTTAGTGTCTCAGTGCCTAGAATACTATTTGCTGAAGCTGGGACTTCAGGATACCATTAGAGTTGAATCCCATATCATCTGTTGGTCTCAGAATGCTGGATAAAGTTGTGCCTCAGTTTCCTTATCTAGGAAATGAGAAAAAAACCAATGCCTGATTTACATTTACAGAGTTGTAATGAGAATAAAATGATTAAATATACATTAAGCATAAAATAATGCCTGGGTCATCTCAAACACTCAGTGACTGATAACTTATTAGCAAGGTTATATATTTGATGAGTTTGAAAGTAGGAAAAAATGACCCTGTTGGTATAAAAAGGAGGAGTACTATTTTTCTCACATAACAAGCAATTCAGAAGTGCATGATGGCTAGCACTGGTTAAGTAGCTCAG